ACCAGTCTTTTAAAATTCAATAAAGATAGAGAAAGTGACAATGAAGTTCAACAGTTGAAAACTTCTAGATTTATCAAGCGAAATGGGTTTATAAAGTCAGCGTTTCCTCAAATAAAACCTGTTACCTAAAAAAGTATCAAACGGGTACATATTACTCGAACGAACGTTACCGTTTTGGAGCCTACTGCGAACTATCATCTAAATTGGTTATTTCAACTAGTGTTCACCATGAATATCCACTTCACCAGCTTTATTCAGCTATCTCACTGATGTGTTCCTAGAAGTAACACATTAGGTAGCACCTCAGAAAAATTAGAAGCACTCGGTCGAAGTAATAAAGTAGTTTAACCGCCATTTGTCTTGATAATTCTAGAAAACACGATTTCAATGTATGTGAAAACTATTTAAATTTTTCCTATTCAACTCATGCGTGACTCGACTGAGATGCCCATTTGCATAAAACAGGGTAAGTACTTTACCCAATAATATACTCTATTAGACTCTGGCTTTTGACCTTGCCATCGGAAGCAAAAGATGTGTGAGTATCCGTCCATAAGCATATTGGACTTGCTTTTTTATGCTTGATAAAGCCAAAAACTGAGCCATGCTGATTTACATGTATGCTAAATAAAACTGATCAATCAGTTGCCATTTTTATAAGCCTTTCTTTGACTGAGGTGGCTTAAACAAACTGTAATTTACTGTTGAATGCTTTGCTAATATTGTTAAGAAGACAGTTTATATCAGATACATTCTTAATTTGGTTTATCATCTTGAACATCGTATCATACAATTATTTTCGTTTATTGTAATTTCTTTCCTTTGATTTACTAGTATTGCTGATATAATTCCTATCTCTGATTTTTCTTTTGTTGATTTCTTTTCACTACTTATCTAAAGTAAGTGTGACAAATTGAATTATACAAGATTGGTGTGTGTTTCTAACTTTTTTATATACTTTACCTAATATCACTTTCTTATACTTACACTAGATGGAACAATTACGACAGTACATACGCCTACAGCAGAAAGCAGCTGAAGAGATTACTTCACTGTTACTGAGACAGCATACAGAACTCGAAAATTTAGAGATTAACCAGTTAAAGCGGATCCAAGACCTACGTATTAATCAACTACAAAGTCAACACGAAGCTGAGATGGAAAATTTGCATCAGTATTTTAAACGCATTGAGATAGGATTACAAAAGAGACATTGTGAAGAAACAAAGAATCTACCAAAATATCTAAAGGTTAGCTTGTAAATACATGTGAAATATGATTTTCAGACCTCATGATACTTGTCTTTTGACGAACTCCTTTTAATTTTGTGCTTTGTTATTAATTACCCTAATAGAAGGCTTTTGATATTTAATCACCGCCTATTCTGATGTCAGTCAGCTGTATGCAACGTGGAACCTGGGGCGTGTGTATTGGTTCAAATTCTCACATCATATTAACACATCAAAATGAGATTACCACGACAAATCCCAGAGTGATTGAAGTTGTAACTCCCACATATTGTGTTGACTTGCACAAAAATGTAGAAAATAATTAATTTCAGTTCGAGATATAATAGTCTTAGATTATTGATATGGACTAAATTACTTTTATCTGTCATTAGAGGGATTGTTCAAAATCTCGTCTTCTTTCTGACTCGATCTCGCTATGCTACTATGGGCTTAATGACCTAAATTTGATACATCAGTGCTTTTGTTTTATCTGTTTGTAAATTCACCTGCTTTTTAAATTCTAATTTCGATGTACTAGGTTTTTTCTGTGATGGCAAGTTTGTTAACTATTTATGATACATTGTATATTGTGTGCTGGCTGTATTGAGTATTTTTTCTGTTCAGCAAAAAGAATTACAAATTCGTAAACAATTTCGTGATGCTGCTCGAATTCAGAAAAAACAATTCAAACTTTTACGTGAGGAGCGTTTAAAGGCTGCACGCCGAACTTCAGAGTTAGGATCTTCACCTTTTTCAGGAGCGTCTGAATCCTCCACTTCATCTGCGCTAATGTCATCAAATTCTAATACTTGTTCAGATTCTGCTGATCTTCAAGGTCAACTCGTAATACATATACAAGATGAACGTCAGATTTTAGAAAATCTTAAATTGGAGGAAAAACGTAAACAAGCCGATTTGGAGGCACAATATAATAAAAGCATTAGTGAACTACACGAGCGTCAAAATGTAAGTCAGTCTTCATACTATCTCAGTAATGTGAATTAATCATCAAGGTTACCATATAACTTCAGTCGTTCATCATAGAATTTAGTGTTCTTGTGGTACACCGACTTTTGTCAGCACGTTTCTCAAAAAATGCAAATCGATGTTGTGACGTTAACGAATAAACACCGAAGGATTTGTATTTATTTGAATGGTTAATATTCTTATTGTTTTTATGACAGAATCGTAATGCTGTTGTAAGTTTTGGTTATGTAACTATTTGTTCTTAAAAATATCTATGATCTCAACGAAATAGATCGCATAACCACACGCAATGGGTACTTACCCTAATGTGGAGCGTAGGCTGTTAACCAGCATTCTCATATCAACTCTGTTAAGGCCTTCCTTTCCAGTTCTGCCCAAAGGTTATCCATTCTTTTTACGTCTGTCTCCGATTCTCGGTGCTCTGTATTCCGTGGTCTGCCGCTTTTCCTTTGACTTTGAGGTTTCTAAGTTAGGGCTTACCTCACGAGCTGTTGGGTGATTTCCGCAATGTGTCCTATCCACCTTCAGCGTTTTTTCCTAACTTGTGCATCCGTAGTCTGGTTTGTTCTGTACCACAGTAGGTAGTTGCCGGTGGTGTCTGGTCAACCGATCCTCATATTTTGCGCAGACAACTGTTAATAAATATGTGTCTCTTCGATGATGACTTTTCTAGTTCTCCAAGTTTCCGCTCTGTACAATAGAGCTGTCTTGATTTGTGTTGAAGATTATGACTTTCGTGTTGGTTAACAGTTGTTTTAAGTTCAAGATGTTCTTCAGTTGTAGGTAGGTATAAAGTATAAATTGTTTGCAAGAAAACAAGTTTACTAGTAATAATAAGAATAATATCGTAGCAAAAGCCGTATTCAGTAGTTCAACATTCAAAATAATGCATTAAACTTGGATAAATGGACTTTAATTAATAATCACTAAACACTAAAATTACGTAGAGGTGTCAATAACGAGATATTAAGGGTTATGAATGAAAGACGAAAAATGAAAAATACGAGGTGTAAAAAATTAATAAAATCGTTTATTGTTATGTGGGAGACGGAATCAAACCCCGTTCGGAAAAGTGGAGATATACGATAGATCAATCACAATTAATGGGTTTCTTCTACGATAACCACTATAGAAGGTTGCAGACAACACATAAGAACCTAATAAAATGAATGAATTCACAAAGGAAACCTTTGATATTTTAGAAATTATTTTTAGTAATAATGAGACTACTTAAGATGAAATTACCTGCTTTGGTAAATAACACTCTAATTCTAGCTACTGTTCGTGGATAAAGGCTTGAAAGATCAGAAAGTGAGTCAGATAAAATTAGAAGTTTCATTTAGTGCTAGAATAAGAAATTGCAACTACACTGGTGCCGTTTATATATAGTTTTAAGTGATCTCCTTAACAGCACTTGGGAATTACATGTTATTTGCTATACTCTTGAATGATTTCTGTTCTCACTTATTTTCCACCTTCTCTAGGGTAAAGTTGAATCATCACATGCTCGCGAAAATAAAGAATTTAAAGAAAGTCGTTTAGAAGGAGTCAAAATTCTTTCTAATTTTCAAGAGAAACAACGACGTGATATGCTCAAACAGCATCAGCACCAAAGAGAGGATTTAGAAAATAGAATTCGTGCACGCAAAGAATCATTGGAAGCTGCAGTGCGTTGTCTGATTTTAATTTTACATACAGTTGTCACAAAGTATTTTGCTTTCTATATGCTCAGTTAAGGTTTCATGGTTTATGGGCTTACAGTTTTCGCTAGTAGCAGTTTTGATCTCTGTTTCTTACAAGACTCATAAATTGCTAGTTCTTGAAACTTGACGGTTTAAAACAACCTACTAGTCTCTAAATAACTTAATGTGCAACAACTGATCATACTAAGTGGCAGGTGAAGAAAGGTTTGAAGCTTATACAATATATCAGTCAGTCAGTTACAACTTAGAACTATGTACCTACGTAGATAAGTTCAAGTTGCCATACCATATTAACACAGAGATGTAATTGTCAGTTCAAATTCCGTTGTGGTATAGATAGAAGTATTAGCAATAACAGAGATTAGGGTTACTGCTTATACAATATTATATATATATATATATAACATTAGTTGCACAATCAATTGTCAACTTTCACATGTTTAAACACGACTTGCACACTGTAGTGTCATCAAAAGTGATTGTACAGCATCTTGATGTGCTGTCTTATTTCATAATTTTTTCAGAGCTTCAGAACAGTAAACCTGCCGAATACTTTTTCATTGTAATGTGTATTGCGTAAATATTTATTTAGTCCTACGTGTTTTCGCTTATCAAGTTTTTCACAGGTGAGCCGTGAACAAAAGAAAAAAAAGCGAACAGAAAAAGAACCCGACCCAATAGGGCCAAGAACACCACCCGACCCTCAACCCCGATCTCACACCACGGAGGACGAGGAAGGAGGATTCACGTGCTCACTGTGTTAACTTGATAAGCGAAAACACGTAGGACTAAATAAATATTTACGCAATACACATTACAATGAAAAAGTATTCGGCAGGTTTACTGTTCTGAAGCTCTGAAAAAATTATGAAATAAGACAGCACATCAAGATGCTGTACAATCACTTTTGATGACACTACAGTGTGCAAGTCGTGTTTAAACATGTGAAAGTTGACAATTGATTGTGCAACTAATGTTATATATATATATATATAATATTGTATAAGCAGTAACCCTAATCTCTGTTATTGCTAATACTTCTATCTATACCACAACGGAATTTGAACTGACAATTACATCTCTGTGTTAATATGGTATGGCAACTTGAACTTATCTACGTAGGTACATAGTTCTAAGTTGTAACTGACTGACTGATATATTGTATAAGCTTCAAACCTTTCTTCACCTGCCACTTAGTATGATCAGTTGTTGCACATTAAGTTATTTAGAGACTAGTAGGTTGTTTTAAACCGTCAAGTTTCAAGAACTAGCAATTTATGAGTCTTGTAAGAAACAGAGATCAAAACTGCTACTAGCGAAAACTGTAAGCCCATAAACCATGAAACCTTAACTGAGCATATAGAAAGCAAAATACTTTGTGACAACTGTATGTAAAATTAAAATCAGACAACGCACTGCAGCTTCCAATGATTCTTTGCGTGCACGAATTCTATTTTCTAAATCCTCTCTTTGGTGCTGATGCTGTTTGAGCATATCACGTCGTTGTTTCTCTTGAAAATTAGAAAGAATTTTGACTCCTTCTAAACGACTTTCTTTAAATTCTTTATTTTCGCGAGCATGTGATGATTCAACTTTACCCTAGAGAAGGTGGAAAATAAGTGAGAACAGAAATCATTCAAGAGTATAGCAAATAACATGTAATTCCCAAGTGCTGTTAAGGAGATCACTTAAAACTATATATAAACGGCACCAGTGTAGTTGCAATTTCTTATTCTAGCACTAAATGAAACTTCTAATTTTATCTGACTCACTTTCTGATCTTTCAAGCCTTTATCCACGAACAGTAGCTAGAATTAGAGTGTTATTTACCAAAGCAGGTAATTTCATCTTAAGTAGTCTCATTATTACTAAAAATAATTTCTAAAATATCAAAGGTTTCCTTTGTGAATTCATTCATTTTATTAGGTTCTTATGTGTTGTCTGCAACCTTCTATAGTGGTTATCGTAGAAGAAACCCATTAATTGTGATTGATCTATCGTATATCTCCACTTTTCCGAACGGGGTTTGATTCCGTCTCCCACATAACAATAAACGATTTTATTAATTTTTTACACCTCGTATTTTTCATTTTTCGTCTTTCATTCATAACCCTTAATATCTCGTTATTGACACCTCTACGTAATTTTAGTGTTTAGTGATTATTAATTAAAGTCCATTTATCCAAGTTTAATGCATTATTTTGAATGTTGAACTACTGAATACGGCTTTTGCTACGATATTATTCTTATTATTACTAGTAAACTTGTTTTCTTGCAAACAATTTATACTTTATACCTACCTACAACTGAAGAACATCTTGAACTTAAAACAACTGTTAACCAACACGAAAGTCATAATCTTCAACACAAATCAAGACAGCTCTATTGTACAGAGCGGAAACTTGGAGAACTAGAAAAGTCATCATCGAAGAGACACATATTTATTAACAGTTGTCTGCGCAAAATATGAGGATCGGTTGACCAGACACCACCGGCAACTACCTACTGTGGTACAGAACAAACCAGACTACGGATGCACAAGTTAGGAAAAAACGCTGAAGGTGGATAGGACACATTGCGGAAATCACCCAACAGCTCGTGAGGTAAGCCCTAACTTAGAAACCTCAAAGTCAAAGGAAAAGCGGCAGACCACGGAATACAGAGCACCGAGAATCGGAGACAGACGTAAAAAGAATGGATAACCTTTGGGCAGAACTGGAAAGGAAGGCCTTAACAGAGTTGATATGAGAATGCTGGTTAACAGCCTACGCTCCACATTAGGGTAAGTACCCATTGCGTGTGGTTATGCGATCTATTTCGTTGAGATCATAGATATTTTTAAGAACAAATAGTTACATAACCAAAACTTACAACAGCATTACGATTCTGTCATAAAAACAATAAGAATATTAACCATTCAAATAAATACAAATCCTTCGGTGTTTATTCGTTAACGTCACAACATCGATTTGCATTTTTTGAGAAACGTGCTGACAAAAGTCGGTGTACCACAAGAACACTAAATTCTATGATGAACGACTGAAGTTATATGGTAACCTTGATGATTAATTCACATTACTGAGATAGTATGAAGACTGACTTACATTTTGACGCTCGTGTAGTTCACTAATGCTTTTATTATATTGTGCCTCCAAATCGGCTTGTTTACGTTTTTCCTCCAATTTAAGATTTTCTAAAATCTGACGTTCATCTTGTATATGTATTACGAGTTGACCTTGAAGATCAGCAGAATCTGAACAAGTATTAGAATTTGATGACATTAGCGCAGATGAAGTGGAGGATTCAGACGCTCCTGAAAAAGGTGAAGATCCTAACTCTGAAGTTCGGCGTGCAGCCTTTAAACGCTCCTCACGTAAAAGTTTGAATTGTTTTTTCTGAATTCGAGCAGCATCACGAAATTGTTTACGAATTTGTAATTCTTTTTGCTGAACAGAAAAAATACTCAATACAGCCAGCACACAATATACAATGTATCATAAATAGTTAACAAACTTGCCATCACAGAAAAAACCTAGTACATCGAAATTAGAATTTAAAAAGCAGGTGAATTTACAAACAGATAAAACAAAAGCACTGATGTATCAAATTTAGGTCATTAAGCCCATAGTAGCATAGCGAGATCGAGTCAGAAAGAAGACGAGATTTTGAACAATCCCTCTAATGACAGATAAAAGTAATTTAGTCCATATCAATAATCTAAGACTATTATATCTCGAACTGAAATTAATTATTTTCTACATTTTTGTGCAAGTCAACACAATATGTGGGAGTTACAACTTCAATCACTCTGGGATTTGTCGTGGTAATCTCATTTTGATGTGTTAATATGATGTGAGAATTTGAACCAATACACACGCCCCAGGTTCCACGTTGCATACAGCTGACTGACATCAGAATAGGCGGTGATTAAATATCAAAAGCCTTCTATTAGGGTAATTAATAACAAAGCACAAAATTAAAAGGAGTTCGTCAAAAGACAAGTATCATGAGGTCTGAAAATCATATTTCACATGTATTTACAAGCTAACCTTTAGATATTTTGGTAGATTCTTTGTTTCTTCACAATGTCTCTTTTGTAATCCTATCTCAATGCGTTTAAAATACTGATGCAAATTTTCCATCTCAGCTTCGTGTTGACTTTGTAGTTGATTAATACGTAGGTCTTGGATCCGCTTTAACTGGTTAATCTCTAAATTTTCGAGTTCTGTATGCTGTCTCAGTAACAGTGAAGTAATCTCTTCAGCTGCTTTCTGCTGTAGGCGTATGTACTGTCGTAATTGTTCCATCTAGTGTAAGTATAAGAAAGTGATATTAGGTAAAGTATATAAAAAAGTTAGAAACACACACCAATCTTGTATAATTCAATTTGTCACACTTACTTTAGATAAGTAGTGAAAAGAAATCAACAAAAGAAAAATCAGAGATAGGAATTATATCAGCAATACTAGTAAATCAAAGGAAAGAAATTACAATAAACGAAAATAATTGTATGATACGATGTTCAAGATGATAAACCAAATTAAGAATGTATCTGATATAAACTGTCTTCTTAACAATATTAGCAAAGCATTCAACAGTAAATTACAGTTTGTTTAAGCCACCTCAGTCAAAGAAAGGCTTATAAAAATGGCAACTGATTGATCAGTTTTATTTAGCATACATGTAAATCAGCATGGCTCAGTTTTTGGCTTTATCAGGCATAAAAAAAGCAGTCCAATATGCTTATGGACGGATACTCACACATCTTTTGCTTCCGATGGCAAGGTCAAAAGCCAGAGTCTAATAGAGTAGTATATTGGGTAAAGTACTTACCCTGTTGTATGCAAATGGGCATCTCAGTCGAGTCACGCATGAGTTGAATAGGAAAAATTTAAATAGTTTTCACATACATTGAAATCGTGTTTTCTAGAATTATCAAGACAAATGGCGGTTAAACTACTTTATTACTTCGACCGAGTGCTTCTAATTTTTCTGAGGTGCTACCTAATGTGTTACTTCTAGGAACACATCAGTGAGATAGCTGAATAAAGCTGGTGAAGTGGATATTCATGGTGAACACTAGTTGAAATAACCAATTTAGATGATAGTTCGCAGTAGGCTCCAAAACGGTAACGTTCGTTCGAGTAATATGTACCCGTTTGATACTTTTTTAGGTAACAGGTTTTATTTGAGGAAACGCTGACTTTATAAACCCATTTCGCTTGATAAATCTAGAAGTTTTCAACTGTTGAACTTCATTGTCACTTTCTCTATCTTTATTGAATTTTAAAAGACTGGTCTATATCATTCAGTAGAACTATGGCGGCTCACGATATTTTCGTCATGTTTGCCAAAAGATTAGTCGACCGTCTACTAGTTAAAAATAAATCAGATCCGTTAGTCAGTAACAATGTATAACTTTGTACGTACGTACATCAGTTCAGACTGCCATGCCACATTAGCACAGAGACACAATTGTCAGTTCAAATCCCATAGTGGTAGAGGTAGTAGAAGTATTAGCAGTAATCTGAGAGATTAGGGTTCGAGGGTATTATTCAAGAGTAGGATCTAGTGAAATAAACTTAAACAGATAGATAAAGGGTGATGAGGAATTCAGAAGTTTAGGGATTTGATCGAACCAAAGAATGAAATGCACCGCGCCATTGCAAGCGGTTTTGAGCCACGTCATTCAGGTTCTCTAACCCTACCTATGATACAATGACTAAATCCAGTTGTTAGTGGTTTTCATGGGTCTGTGCAGTGTTTTGGTTTTGGCCGCCCGCTAGCTTCTTTCAACCTACTCCTACACCACAAAAAATCGCTCGTCAGTTAAAAAATATAATTAAAACATTATTGTTACTAAAGCTATGCTAACGGCTTCATTCCATGCTATACTATTTCAAGGGGAAAAAAGTATATAACTGTAAAATCAAACAGTGTCCTCCATGTTCACAGTTGGTACGCCACTATAAATAAAGCATATAGCAACTTAAACTATCCTGCCAGACCTATTAGGTATTTCTTCCGCGTTATACTAAGTCCTTTTCATGTTTTTTTCCTTAGCTAATTGAGTCCCACTATAGTTATGTTACTTAGCAAACGGGTGGGTGTCAAGGTATCAGACTGAATCATATACGTGCGGACTAATTAGTGTCACGATGCTAAAATAACAAAGAATTCTAGATTTTTTTTGGTGTATTGTATCACAACGTTTTTTAAACGCAATCATCAAGATAAATATATGTTGTATTTATCACTTCACCTCGATATCCTGTAACTGTGTTAGTAGAAGACGCTTCGTTTTACGCGTTTCCAATGTAGACACATCTTGTCGTCGCTTTCGAATAGCCTCTAGGGGGTTGGGATGTCCATTGGGATCAGAGTCATGTGAATTAAAAGATCCAATTGCAGACTTTTTGGCCGATTTTAGTTCAGTTTTTGTCTCAGTTTCAAGCTGACGTGCTAATTTTGATTCGACTGACATTGCTCTTTTGCGCTCCTTTTCTATTTCACCAGCATGAATTTCTTCTAACCTCATGAACTCTTTTCTCATTGCTAGCTTAGTCGCTTCATAGTCACGGTTTAATCGTGATTTTAGCGATTCCTCCTCAGCCTGTGAAATGAAAAAAAACTAGAACATTTAAATTAATACCCAGAAAAAAAATTAAATTATTTATCGATGCTAGTCACTCTATGGAGTTGCACTCAGTCAGTCAGTCAGATGCAACGCAGAACTTCGTACGTAAGTACATCAATTAAAATTGCCATACAACAAACATTAGCACAGAGACGCAATTGTCAATTCAAATCCCATAGTGGTAGAGATAGTACGAGCGCTATTGGGGTTCCAAGATAATTATTCAAGTATAATTTAAAGAACAAGACAAAAGTAGAGGTGTTGATGAATCTCACGAAAGATGTTGGATTTGCGACAGAACATAAAGAGTGGATGCTCCTGGCGCCGTTGCAAACGATTTTGAGCCATGCAATTCAAGAGCTCTAACCATTGGTTACTAACCGTCTCGCGGATCCCCAACCAGGTAGCCTACATCTACCAACATGACTCAGTCCACTTGTCAGTGACTTTATGGATTTCTGCCATGTTCTGGTCTGGCGGCCCCTAACTTTCTTCTAACCTACTCTTACACCACAAAACATAGCAGTCGGTGGTCGGGTATTTGTAACACATGGAGTTGCACTGAAGCTATCCAAACAAGCACAACAAACACTGACAGGAGTCTCATGCAACCCAGGATCATCAAAGCATTCTTCAAAACAAAGAAAGAGGACATTACAATGAACGTCATCCAATGAGATGCACCTACCGACAATCGCAATGAAGACGTTAAACATTAATTCTACGAGAGGCAGCAGTCAGTCGCTGAGAAATTCCCATCAAACGACTTGGTCATTCTGATGGGAGATCTAAATGCCAAGGTTGGCATGTACAACACTGGATGTGAAGACATCACGGGACGACATGAAGTGGGAGAAAGGAACGAAAACGGCGAGAGATTTCCAAAACTGTGTGCCTTCAACGAACTGATCATCGGCGGTACCATATTGCTACGCAAACGCCTACACCAATCCACATGGATTTCACCGGATCACACTACACAGAACCAAATCGACCATATCTGCATCAATAAAAATTTCAAAAGAAACATGGAGGACGGAATAACTAAGATAGTTGATATAGCCTCAGATCACTACTTGCTGGTCGCCAAAATGAAACTGAAACTCAAGAAACACTGGACAATGGGGCGGACAACATCGCAAAAGTTTAATGCGGCCTTTCTTCGGGAAACCGTAAAACTCAACGAATTCAAGATAGCCCTCAGCAATAAGTTACAGGCCTTGCACGATCCACTCGATGGAGAGGAAACTAGCATAGAGAACAATAGGAAAGAGATCAATGAAGCAATCACTTCAACATGTCAGGAGGTTCTGGACCACAAGTACCATCACAAGGAATGGATCTCTATTGGTACTCTGGATAAAATACAAAAAAGGAGGAACAAGAAGGCCGCAATCAACATCAGCCGAACAAAAGCAAAGAAAGCCAAGGCACAAGCTCAATACACAGTAGCAAACAGGCAAGTGAAGAGGGGCACCAAAGCCGACAAACGTAAATATGTGGACGATATAGCGATGACAGCGGAAAAGACTGCAATAGAAGGGAGCTTGAGACAATTGTACGATACAACAAAGCTCGCTGGAAACTATCGTAAACCAGAACGATCAGTGGGAAGTAAGGAAGACAAAATACTCAGCAACAGGTGGGTAGAGCACTTTAAGGAACTCTTGGATCGACCAGCCCAGATAAACCTACCCAACATTGAAGCACCATCCACGGACCTTCTAATTAATGAAGGCACACCAACAATTAAGGAAATCAGTATGGCTATCGGACCAGAAAACATTCCAGCACAGGCAATGAAAGCAGATGCAGCCACAACTTCAAAAATACTCCACATTCTCTTCAACAAGATTCGGGATGAGGAACAAGTACCAAAGAAAGGCGATCTCAGCAGGTGTGAGAACTACAGAGGCATCACTCTTCGCTGAATACCAGGCAAAGTCTCCAACAGGGTGTTGTTAAACGGGATAAAGGACTCCGTAGACGCCCAACTTTGAGATCAACAGGTCGTATTTCGTAAGGATCGATCGTGTACCGAACAAACTGCAACGTTACGGATTATTGTAGAACAATCTATTGAATGAAACTCACCACTCAACATCAACTTCATCGACTACGAGAAAGCATTCGATAGCGTGGACAATAAAACACTATGGAGGCTTCTTCGACTCTACGGCGTGCCTGAGAAGATAGCCAACATCCTATAGAATTCTTATGATGAATTAAACAGCAAAATAGTGCACGGAGGATAGCTGACAGACTCGTTTGAGGTGAAAGCCGGTGTCAGGCAAGGTTGCTTACCCTCACCCTTGCTTTTTCTCCTGGTGATCGACTGGATTATGAAGACGTCAAAGCACCCAACTGAGTCACAAGACAGACTCGCACTTGGAACCTTCAACGCGAACAGAAAAGAGGAAGGCCAAGGAACACATTACGCCGAGAAATGAAAACAGACATGAGAATGAACAAAAAATTGGACAGAATTAGAAAGGGAGGCCCAGGACAGAGTAGGTTGGAGAATGCTGGTCGGTGGCCTATGCACTACTGGGGGGTAACAGGAGAAAGTAAACAAGTCACTCTATATCTCAAAGTGTGAATTTTAAAGCAAAAGATGTTGTGAAGGTCAGAAACTTTATGTTAACAGCAAATCAAGACACAGCAAAATAGCTAGAATTCAAACATACGATAGCCTTAATAATAATATTGGTAATAATGATGGTAATAACAGTAATAATAATAATCAAAAATACAAGGCTAATTTGATAAATATAAGATTTTTGTGCATAAAGTGACCGTATAATTCAAGCATTTCAAACACTGGAACATTTCGTCTCTCAGTTAGAAGCCCAAATGATAGTGAGCACAAACAGTACGTTATATATATCTATGTACTAAAGCATCTTAAAAAAGTACAGGTAAACAAAACTATAAAATCCTGTAGGAAGAAACTTAATTTGGAGGCTGAACAGATTAGTCACAAGTAAAATGTCAAATAGACAATAAATTCAAACGAGTAAACTACAAACCTTATTTTTATCTTCCACTTGTTTTAGATGCTTATTATGTTGGTTTCGAAGTCGTTTCAGCTCATTCATCTGATCACGCCAGTTAGCCATCCCCCTGCCATAACCCTGTTGTGTGAAGCCAAGAGCAACAGCAGCGGCTGAATTTGAAGCATCCGCTTCTAAAGACAGACCTCTCATCATCTGAGTAGTTTTCAATGTTGCAAAATGACCAACAGAAGATGTGTCCGGAGGAGAGTTCATTTCGACAGAAGCTAAACGGGAGGTTTCAGTGGCCATACCCGAATCGTTACGAGAGGTAATAGAGAACCGACTAAAGCTTTCAGTTCCTCCTTTAGTGATATGTGCCTTTGTCGGGGTAACGGTAGAACCAACAGTTTCAGAGATAGAGCCTTAGAGAAAAAAAGTATATTTTTAAAATTAGGAAACGTCAACGAAATATTTTTAATAACAGATTATATTTTAATATATGATTAAATGGTAACGACATGCATTTGTGTATAATTGTCTGATGTTCAATCACATCCGAAGAACTAATTTACAAGGAAAACTAGTTCTGTAACCGTAGACAGACAGGTTTTCAAATAGTTGGAAGAATACAAGTCGGTCTTTTTTCTGCTTAGCTAATGGAGTCACAAACTTGGAGTTGATTGAACTGAATCCATTCTATTTTGCTTGATATATCTGTAGAACCGAAATTGGTCAGAACTCAGTGTGAAAACATGAGTATGGTGTATTAATGATTTAAATGATATTAAAAACGTTGAGTAGTGTCGCAATATATATATATATACAACCCCAAACGAGTTGGGAATGTTTAGGATTTCTAGAGTATGCTGCTACCATGCTCCATTCAGACGTCGGACGAATATAAATGATAAAATCTCAGATACTAAATCAACTACACTAATTCTTTCGAAATCACCAAACAAGGATTTTTCTCCTTTTTTAACTGCAATGATTGAGGATCGAAACCAATCAAGTTGAAATATATATACCACTTAAATTCTAAATGAAGTGGTATTCATTTTATTGATACTGATGTAATATCATCCAAAAGGATCTGTGGCATCAACCTATGCCTCTATATCCATCAGAAAATACTTCTTAGAATTTTACATGTGTTGTCTCTGACCGTAATGATGTTCCACCCATATATCTAGTATGGTCGAATCTCAAATCACAAACACTAACAGAAAGGTAGTATGACAGGGTCTTTGGTTTTGACGATCAGCTTTAGTGTAAGTAACATTAACATGACATCCGTTAACAATTCATGCATTTAATAGAAATTAAAGGAAGCGAAAAGCAAGCCACATTGAGTAAAACCATGTGTAAATAAAGAGGCGCCTTAAATAATATTCACCAGCAAGTTATACTTTGCAATGAAACCTGGTTCTGGTTCGCGCACACCTGTCAAACAAGTTTTTATGTTAAATTATATTTACTTTTTGCATCAACCCAATGAATTCTTTGTTTGTAAATAAATTTCAAGCAACCTCACCTTTAGTAATTAGGTTTTCATCAGACAACAGATATTTAGTATCGTCTAACTTACCAGAACGTTCTAATTCATTGTTAGAGCCAACCTCGACTGAATGATATACATGATTGTCATTAGTGGACTCCATATTAGCGTACAGATGACTGTTGATTTGGACAGAACGCGAATTTTGAGGATGTTGAGTTGTACTATAGTCCCCTTCACTTAGTCTGTGTGAGGTCGATCGATTAGGCGGAGGTGAAGGTTGTGTTCGATTCAAATCGAATGAACCACCATGTCCACTATCCGGATCAAATGTGCGAGACTGTTTTGAGAAAAAAACAATAAGTATTCAAATGAGATTACTGACGTAAAATAAATATTTCTTAACTCTAAATCGTCACTATCGCACCTGAATTTTTAATTTCGTAAGGTTTTGGCACGACCTACTTTTTAGGATAACTGTTAGTGTTTAAGACGCGTTTTTTGCTTTTAATAACGTGCGTGCCGATAGTTTAATGGGGTGGAATTCGAAGATCAAGTAGAGAGTAATGAGGCAAGATAATGAATAATTGATATTTTGTTTAAGACAAATTATCAAAATTGTATGAATGTCAATAAATACTGATTTTTTTCAAACTAAATTTAAGCACAAAGTCTCTGCACCAGCTACTAGCTAAATTGAATTCATACAAGAGAAAAAACCATAAAGTAAGTTTAAGTTCAAATCATTATTAAATAAGCTTACGTTATCCCGTTGTTGATATTCTTGATAAATTTTTAATCACTCTTGGCTCGCATATATGTATTCTGTAAGGGCTGCCTTGAAACAGTCATTTTCATAAGCTTTATATTGATTAGACGGACTCAACCCAGTGGGAAACGCACCAGGCGTTTGAAGAAAAGGGTACTAGGTTCGAGTCTTGGTGTGGATGTGAAAACTGGAATGTAGGTTTGTACAACTGACAAGTCGTAAAGGGGACGAAATTCCCATCATGGATTTCAATGTCAGTCGTAATTCCTCTATTATAGTCCATAATCTTAAACCAGTTTACACAAAGACTGTAATCTAATAAAGGTGAAAAAATTCATTTACAGCCGACTGTGTACATACTTTAATTTCTATAGATATCTGACCGCAGTATATAAGTAATCTGTCCGAACCTATTTTCACAAGTATCAGGAGAATTTTTCATGACTACATGTTGGCACACTAAGGTAAATAACTTGTTGGAGGTATGTCACTCTCTTTATAAATGGACAAAATGTTTTATTTTTTAATGACTTACTCGATTAGGCACGCTGATTAAAACAATTAGTCCCTTTTATAAATTTCGACAGAACAATGAGATGGAGTCTACTCGAAAATGGGATGTATCTGCGCTATATATATCGAACAATCTGATCATACATACTTGCCAAGTTGTTTTATATATAAATAGTACAAGTCGCTTAAATGAAAGATCAGCTTCGATAGCACGGTGTATAATAGAAACGGAGCATTGGATTGATATCAATACAGCATATAGAACGCTGTGTGGAAATTATCAAGGATGAATCTTTAAGTTTGGAGAAAAACTGGCTATTTTCAAATTTAAACCCGGTTTATGAGCACATAAACAATTAGTTGTAACGTTATATTTGTTCTCGTAATCTGCAAGCAGTATTATGGCCTAGAGTAGTGCGACGGTTTCGTATCCTCTTCATACTATGTTGCCTAGAGATTAGGCGTTCGCGCGAGACTGAATATTCTACAACTTCTTCTTGCGTGCTCAGTTGTGGGTGAGCACCACTGAGTCCCATACTATGACGAAACAGCTGGTCAGTGCTTCGAGGTTTTCAATGATGGTTTAGCTGAGGCCAGATCGTGATTTCACAATGAAAATTATCATGTTGTTCACCTGGACGTTCATTTAATTGACATTTGTCCTTGACAAGTAAGTGCGACCAGATTGGTCGAAAGGTAGAGTGCAAATATACATTACATTTTTTCAGATCAACCCCGTCCTCTCATTTTCAGTTATATTCAAATCGAGTTTTAAAGTATGTTCATAATATCATAAACAAAAGCAAACATACCGGTGAGTTATCATTTGAAATTCCAGATACAGAGTGTTTAGGGGGTATATATACATGTCTCAGACCAGGACTATTACAACTATCGGACAGATCACTGCTAGCGCTACCCACGCTGTTGGAACAACTATCACCCTAAACAAACAATAAAATGTTAATAATAATAATAATAATAGTAATAATAATAATAATAAATGAGTACTTCACCATATTAATCTCATGCTACATAAAACTGTTCGCAATTTGAAATTCATACGTCAATAAAATGTGACCAGAAATTGTTTAGTTTACTCATTTCTACATAATATTTTGATGGATGATATTTCAGAGAGAAGCTATCACTTTACTAGGTGATTAAGATGCTACTTAATTTATTTTAGTCACTGTCCAAAGTGCTAGGAGTATGGACTCCTATGTGATGAGACATTGAAATTATTTGAATGGTGCGTAAATGCGGGTAACTAGGTAAGTGCTAGTAGTAACGCGACAGAGAAGATCTATAATCATATAGTGAAAGCCACAGTAGTTTGTACAGTTACAGGGCCTTTACAATGCTAACAAGAGTGTAAAAGATATGTCACATGAAGTTGGTATCAGTACCTTTGCTCTGTATCGTTATTGCTTTCCAAGTGAAGAAGGTTCAAGAGTTGCTCGCATTCCATAGACGCACTATGCCGGTAATAATGAGGTGTCAATCAATCACTACGA